TAAAGGACAAACAAAAACAATCCGTAGCTCAATTCTGTCACATTTAATTGATAGTGGTCATGTAGTCGAGAAAATGAAAGCCTTCAAAGTAATTCATCGTATCCCACCGAATCTTTCTAATAGACTTCGTATTCGTCTACTGCACACAGATGAGGCGATAGGCATTCGAACTATTAAGCTTAAACTATGCATTCAAAAGAAGTTCGTACAGCCATTATCCCTCCCTTGGCCTATTAAGACATAACCAACTAAAGACTTCTACACCACCCCTTGTTTATATCTTCAACCCCACAATTTATATTCACCATCGTATTATCCTATAGACCAAACACCATGATTGGTTTATATTTGAATTTTTATTTGTAAACTTATATATATTAGAGTTAAGCCTGATGAGATCGAATTGAAAACAATATTGTTCGCTTAAATGTATTGTTCTAAATTTTACTTTGGGAATATTTAATATATTGAAATCTCGCGGGGATCCTATTGCATTTAGGCACTCAATGAGTACCTGAAGTTTAATGCAAGGCTCGCTGAAGCGAAAACATCGTTGGAAATTTTCAAAGAATTTGTAGAAACCGAACGTTATCCCAAACTATATTGGAGGTCGTTAAGACGAGTGAGGATTTATCGTAATTCTAAGAATTTAAAAAGACATGCTCTTAATCAGATTGATTCTGTTAAAACTCTTATAAATGATCTAGAAAGGAACATATCACAAAGACAATTTTCAGTTGATGATTTACCTCAGGAATTACAATTGATGTTCATTGAATATGTTAATAACGTAACAGTAAACAGAAGGAATAATAAAAGGATAAGTCTTGTCAAATCTCTCGAAAGGCAAAAAGCTTGAAAGGAAATTTCCGTCAGATCCGGGCCTGTATGTTCACAATTTTTCCACTGTCGTGCTTAATAAGTTTCATTTGGAGGTGTTATCCCTAGGTCCCACATTTAGTGATTATGCTCCTTAAGTTGATCAATTAGACACTGATATACAGTTTGAAAATTTATATTCTCAAACGTCAGATCTTACCCCATCGTCGGACGATGAACTAACTGCAGTTTATCGAATTATAGTCTATCTGTAATAAAAAAGAATAATATTTCTCAGCACTTTGTAACAAAGCAGTTAGAAGAAGCTAGTGCAATACATTAGACAACTGTATGAATTACATTATTACGTGGACACTTCAGGAAAATTCCAACTACAAATGTCAGTAGTACTATTCCATAGCGGACTAGTTGAAACCACCTGACTTTGTTATGGCTTTGCATTCCATAGTAAAATATTTCTTTACGTATCTGATTTTTATGCTAAATTAAGGAAGCTGAGCCATTCATTAAAGCATATTCGGGGGTGTTTACGGAGTCGCATACCGATCAACAGACACATACCATCGTTGAACTAAACCCTCAGCTCTCAGACACTAACTGTCGGGTTCGAATTTGACTCTACCTAGTTCATTAGAGGCAACTTTGCAGTATCATAACCTCTCACTAAATGAGGAACATATTTCAGGTTATTCAAGTCTTAACGAACTAATCCAGATAACCATTCATTCGTTGATGGAAGCAGTTCCAAACATAAGAGGAGACATTATCTCACCTGTGGACCACATATATCAAGCCAACACCTAGCTATAAACTTTTGATGGAGTGGATCTACAGAAGATTGTCGCTTCGCCAAGAACACCTGGGTGGACTCCGACCATGCATCATTCCGTGAGCGTATATGCATACAAATGGAAGAACGAAGAAAATAAGTATTTGTCAGCAATCTTACGTGGACAGCTTCACGGTGAGTAAATGAATTTCGTATTTAGAGATGAGGCCGATCTTGTGATAAACACAAGTAGAAAAACTTGGCTAACGTAGTATTTAGGATCCATCGTTCTACGGACACTAAGTGAGAGCAAGAGAAAATAAATATGGGGAGATCAGGTGGACTTCAGACCCAAATAACTATGGTTTAATTGCATCCTTGCTGTGAGTGTTTGATTTGAGGGTAGGAAGCTCAGATACTATACCGTCTGTAATCAAAATGTCCTATTCCGACTTTTGCAGTCGTGTAACAGCTTTATGAGTCTTTATCTGCACAGAAGATAGCAACTGATATAGATAGGAATAAATATACTATAAGCCGGGTGTGCTTAGTGCAACAATTCGGATTTACATTCTTCATAGATATATTAACAGAAATGTCATAAAAATTGACTTGTTAACGGGGAAGTCTTGTTGATCAGAAATGTGCTTATGATACTGACCTCTTAGATGAGGATATGGATATAATGTAATCCTCATTCAATGGATTTAGTAATATCTTCCCATTTGCTAATTATTACCGCATTTTTCAGCAGACTCAACATAGCCAAAACTTGTACCACACCTCATGCCTATGGGACGTTGTGCAGTGAATAAGGTCATTATGAATGGTCAGCTGGTACTGCACTGTATGAGGTCAGACTTATTATTATTTTCTGTCTTCATTAATTACAAACAAACCAATTATTCCCATTAGTAAGTGGTCTCTAGGTTTGGATTATTTACTGTTGGATAGCAGAGAAGCAACTCGTTCCAAACCTTATCTTCATTATAAAGATTTGCTGTTCTTCTCAATTTTTCTGTTGCAAATGAAAATTCACACAATAAAATTTATTCTTCTGATCACCGGAAAGTTACTCAATTAATTAAAGTAACTTGTCGTACTCATACAGCAGTCTTAATTCTCAACCTCTTGTGTATTTAAGAAAGCAACAATCCTTTCCTTTAGTTTCTTCAGCAGAGTTCACCAACTGCTATAGTCCCCAAATAGGACGAAACAGCTGTCCAGTACTCTTGGATTCTCAATAATCTCTGTAAATGATGTTGATTAGCGACGAAATCTAACAGTTAAAACTAACCTAAATTTGGTCCGTTGTTGCAAAGTCGAAGTGAGTCAATAAGTCTTGATTCACAAACTCGGCACACTGTCAAGGAAAGAACTTCACAAAAGCATGCTCTGGATCAGAATGAGTTTGTACTAGCTAAGATGGAAACTGAATGCTTTGCGCGTACAACAGCATACACTGAATTTTTAGAGTAAGATGTATATGTTGGTTCCTCACAAACAACTTTAGAAGGTCCCACCAAAAAGTTCCGTTCATGGGAACAGTCAACGTCTACCTCGCCTTTCCCAATTGATGCTGATAGATAATCGACCATATTTACCGGTTTGTCCGAATGCCCACCAAATTTAACTTTGGAGAAACATTCTCTCCACTTTGGATGAAGACCGTAGTTTGCAGTCTGAAGAACTATCACCGTCAGAAATTCCAAGACAAATCGACAGACCCGTTGCCATATTATATTGCTTGGTGGTTTAGTTGCTTTGCTTCAGGATCAGAGGGACTTTACGACGTCTCGTTCATGTAATTCACAAGATCGGGAAGTTCTCTGGAGATGCTTGGCTGCAAAGGGAATTCCAAGAAAATATATTGCACTGATTAAGGCACTCTATTCGTACTCATACAGCCAGGTGAGGGCTTACGGCGAGCTGTCATCTGAACTGATGACGACCAGTGGTGTCCGTCAAGGATGCCCATTATCTCCTTTTCTATTCAACTTCATCATAGATGTGTTAATGGACTTAACCCTAGGTGACTTCAGTGACTCAGGAATTGACTTGCTACCGGGGAATAATCTCGTTGACTTGGAATATGCAGACGATATAGTCCTTCTAGGCGAAGACGCTGACGAAATGCAGAGTCTTCTAAACACCTTGAGCTGCAATCTACGAATGTTTGGCATGCGATTCGCTTCCGCCAAATGCAAGATGATGTTACAGGACTGGACTACATCGCCGCCTAGTTTAAAAATAGGAAGTGAAGTGGTAGAACACGTTGACCGCTTCACTTATTTGGGAAGTACCATCAGCCCCAACGGGCTGATCTCTGACGAAATCTCAGCACGAATACAAGGGGCTCGTTTCGCATTTGTTAGTTTACGCCGACTCTGGCGTAGACGAGATGTTCGACTATCGACCAAAGGGCGTGTGTACTGCTCATCAGTCCGCTCCGTCCTCCTTTATGGCTGGCTGTGAGACCTGGCCACTGAGAGTGGAAGACATGAAAAGGCTAGCTGTCTTTGATCATAGGTGCCTGCGTTCTATTTCCCGTGTAAAGTGGCATAATAAGGTGAGCAACATGGAGGTTAGGCGTCGAGTTCTAGGTAAACAGGGGAAATCAATCGACGAAGTCGTGAAGCTACAAAGACTGAGATGGTTAGGACATGTGTTACGTATGCCAAGCCATCGCCTCCCTCGACGAGCAATGTTAGCTAACATAGGGTCAGGCTGGAAAAAAGCTAGCGGCGGTCAAACCAAAACATGGCATCAGTCAATGAAATCCACAACAGTTGGTCTAAGCCACGTAGAAAGGTGTAGACTTCCAGGCTGGGGTCCTCGGGACGGTAAAAATCTATGGTTGGAAACAATTGGTGACATGGCTCAAAATCGTTCTCAGTGGCGCAGATGCATCCACTCCTTGTGACTTATGATTTCCAATGAAACTGTTTTGTTCTTCGTTATTACTCCTTTGTCTCACACCTCTGCTCACTGTTTCTATTATGCTTTTCTTGTACTTTCTTCTCTTGCTTCGCGTGCTACACGGAATGTGGCGACTTGAAATTCCGCACATTTGTGCAAAGTTCTATGTCGAAAACAGACAGACAAACAGACAATTCACAAGATGAAACTGAGTCAAGAGTATCTCACTTTAAATGCTTATATATCAAGTGTATATGGTTCAACAACACTGCGCCCTCACACTCGTTCGAACCATTCATATACAATGGACAGGTACTCTATATGTCCACCGTCAATGGATCATCCCAAATCGTATAAAAAAGGCACCGGCTTCAACATATGACGCCGAGCATTACTGTTTTCTCAATGGTATACGAACTAATGACAGGCATTCACACATAGATGATAATCAAATGCCTAGTTTACAGGTCAGCTGAAAAACACTAAATCATAGTATCTCCTCCTGTTTTGATACACAGATGAAGTATTCAGCCTGGGGATGAAGACTTCATTTGAGGCCCAGAAGTAACAGCGCCTATACTTCCGAAAGTGAATACGAAATTCGCAGTTAACTCAAATCAAAAACCTCGCGACACTACATTTTTTTACTGGTCAAAATGATTTCGAAACCAAAAGGAATTTCGCAATAGAAGTAGCCACTTACCTTCCCAAAACATGAGTGTACCCAACTGCGTAGTTATAAGGTGTCACACTGTCAGAAAGCAGAACAAATAAAACCCACCCTTAGAAATTAAAAAGATTAAGACTTCACAATGATCACATTTATCGCCTTAAGATTTGTCAAATTTGCTTGAGATCAAAAAGACTTCAAACTGTTATCGCAAATAATTTACGAATCACAGAGAAAGTGTAGAGAAGAGATGCAGAGTGCATAACTTTCGTAATCACAGGTAGAGTATGAGTTACAAATGTTTACACTGAACTAGTTGAGCATCAGTCTGATAATTTTCAGTACATGCAATACACTGCATAATAGTCATAAGGAATTCTACGGCAGAAGTACATACACGATGATATTTTGTGACTTGCAAACACAGGAAAGAAGATTTCTAAGAAACACTTGAAGGATAGGAAAACAGCAAAGTTACAAGGGGGAAAGAGAAGTTCATATGAATTCAACGAAGTTTGAATACCACTGTAGCAGATGGAAGGCAATCAGTAAGTTCTATTGCGAACAATAATCTCAAGATACATCTAAAGTAGAAAGAAACAATGAGAAATACAAACATATAACTGGTTTGAAATATAAAATACAATTACATAGATCAATACATTGCATATATGAATATATTTCGCCAGTTGGGATAAAAGATGAGTCTAAGAATGAAATGCTGCTCAATAACCGCATGTATGACGTAATTAGTACCACGCCAACTTTCTAGTAGCAATCAGCATTAAGATAGGTCATAGCTCTGAGTCGATGATACGTTCCAGCTGTATCAAACGATTAAGGTTTACCATCTTGCATTTTTCTTACTGTGTTTGCCAGCGTATAATAAAGAGTTCGATAGCTGTTTACGGAAATTAGGACTGTCATGTGAATCGATGCCGGTTATTTGCATTGTTCAATTGGCGTTTTGGTAAGTAATAATATTCGCAATCTCACTAATGTTAAGGAATGCTTTAAAAGCATTTTCAGCACGTGGACCAGATTCACATTTCTAGAATACACTTCAGCCGTGTGGTCACGATGGTGCCTTCAGCTAAAGTACCATGCCCTAAAGGCGGCATTCGATTCTGTCGACCGAGAGGTATTCTGGCGATGCTTGGCTGTAAAGGGAATGTCGAGAAAATACATTTCACTGACTAAGGCACTCACTCTACTCGAACTCATGCAGCCAGGTGAGGGCTTACGGCGAGTTGTCATCTGAAGTGGTGACGACTAGAGGTGTCCGTGAGGGATGCCCACTGTTCCCATTTCTATTCAATTTCATCATAGATGTACTAATGGACTTAACGCTAACTTACTTCAGAGACTCAGGGATTGACTTGATACCAGGTTGGGAATAATCGCGTTGACTTAGAATATGCAGACGGTATGGTCCTTCTAGGTGAGGACGCTGACAAAATCCAGCTGAACGCCTTGAGCTGCAATCTACGAATGTTTGGCATGCGATTCGCTCCCGCCAAATGTAAGATGAAGTTACAGGACTGAACTAAACTACACTGACTCCTAGCTTAGAAATAGGGAGTGCCGACCGCTTCACTTATTTGGGAAGTTGCGTCAGCCAACGCCAGTGAGTTGATCTCTGACGAAGTCTCAGCACGGATACAGTGGGCTAGTTTCGCATATGCCAGTTTACACTGTCTCTGGCGTAGACGTGATATCCCCATGGTTGTCGACCAAAAGACGGGTGTACTGCTCATCAGTCCGCTCCGTCCTCCTTTATGGCTGTGAGCGAGACATGGCCATTGAGAGGGGAAGACATGAAAAGATTAGCTGTCTTTGATCATAGGTGCCTGCGCTCTATCTCCCGTGTGAAGTGGTATAATAGGGTGAACAATATTGAGATGAGGCGTCGAGTGCTAGGTAAGGAGAGGAAATCAATAGGCGAGGCTGTGAAATTACATTGACTGAGATGGTTAAGACATGTGTTATGTATGCCTAGTCATCGCCTTCCTCGACCGATGGGCAATATTAGCTGATATAGGGTCAGGCTGGAAAAGAGCTAGCGGCGATCAAACCAAAACATGGCACCAGTCAATGAAATCCACAACAGTTAGTTTAAGCCAGTCATGTAGGAAGGTGTAGACTTCCTGGTTGGGGTCCTCGGGACGATAGAAACCAATGGTTGGAAACAATTGGTGATATGGCTCAAAATCGTTCTCAATGGCTGGGGCAGATGCATCCACTTCTTGTAACCTATGATTTCCAATGAAACTGTTTTGTTCTTCGTTACTTCTATTCCTTTGTCTCACACCTCTGTTTACTTTCTCTATTATGCATTTCTTCTCTTGCTTTGTGTGTCACATGGAGTGTGGCGACTTGAACTGCCACACATCAGTGCAAAGTTCTATGTCGAAAAGAGACAGACAGATCATGCTTCACAAAACAGCGTACTAACACTTGCTGATACAATGGCAGTTGCTCTTTAAAACTTGATTTTGTAGAGACTGAAGTCAGATAGAGAAATAATGGATATCTGGACATCCATTATCTATGCAAACTGTTTCAGCTAATTCATAGACACACACTGCAACAGTTTAAGAAGTGTCAATTAATAATAGATATATAAACAAAACTTACAACTCATCGGAGAGTTTTGGAATCGGCTACAAAGCTGATCATGATTGAACTTCAGAAATGCTTCATATTGTTCTACAATTAGAACAGGAATAAAAGTACTCAAATCATGTCGATACAAAGAGATATTTTCCCCTACACAAATATCATATACGATTTACTCGAACTAATTTAGTTTTTACCGGAGGATAAAACAATTTTTTAGCACTTTCGGAGCTAAATGATGAACGATAACTACAACAAATTTACTTCCGCTATTTCAAATAGATTACTTTTAAAACTTAATTTACGACTATAAAAGCACAGTAGTTACCTCTTTGTTACTAATAATACATTAAGTACTATACATCCCAATAATCGCCAGTTTACATTATCATTTCAAGCTGACACTTTTCCCTACCAAATATAACGGCTTAATCTCACTGAAGTTGTAATGCTTAAAGCTAACATGATAATTATAGTCTTCCTAATGTAGAACTCCACGTACACTACCGCTAGACTTTCGCTAACAACGACATCTGGTTAACAGTTTAGTCTCCCTACAGACAAATGTAGCTTGAAAAATTTGAAAATGGACTAGGATGTTACATTAAAAACTTACCAGCTAATTTACATGATAATATATCGTCATATTCCTCTCGTAACTCGTCTTCTCGTTCTTTCATAAGGCGTTCGCAAAGAGCTGTAACTTGTGGCAAGGTGAAGATAGGCACTGAATCCAAATTACGAACAGACTGCGAAGGTGACTGAGAGGAAGGAACAGAGGTAGTGCCAAGTGTTGGGAACGCGGGCTCACTGTTACGCAAGGGTGACTGGTCACTGTCTGAATCTTGACTGTCTGTAGTAGGTGATCGCAAAACCATGGATCGGAAACTACCACTGCATGAGGCAACCGCTGTGATAAAACAAAGAGTAGATAAATTAAAATGACCCAGGAAACCTAACTCTTGTACAGATTATTACTTCATCCCTGAACCATTTGGGATACTAAAAGCGAAAAATAATCGACATTCACCCATGTATCTCTCCGATTGGCACACATAATGTCCGGTTACTCCGGTTGAGTTGTTACACACACATTGACTGATAACTCTTATGGTCAATTTTTTTATATAATTCAGGGAAATAAAATCTAATGTGGAGAGGTTTGCAACCGAATCAAACTAAGGGAATGTATTCATAATCAGATACCTAATTAGAAATCTAAACCAAACAGCCACATTACCATGCGACATTGCCTTAGAGGGAACTCACGGTGATCGAAGCATGTAATACCAAGCAGCTCTACTAGGTATTCTTTAGGGGTTTGATATCGAGAAACCAGACTTCATAGAGATTAAATTACTGTCTTTTAACTACCTTGTGCACTTGTACAACTTCAAAAGAATTTTATCCGATGACAGATAACTTTAGTGCATTCCAGACATAGTCACACAGGGCGAATCGGTTTTTGATGTACAACCGCATACAAAATGTGATCGTAAAATCATAAAGGCATCACTACAACTTTAAAATACCAATTTATTAGTCAGTATTTAGATGATTTCGGATATTACATAAAGCCGTTACTAAAGTGAAAATCAGTATACGAGACCATGTATTTATAACTTACCTACATTATCCTGCAAATGACTAGTGAATGTCGTACTTATTGCTGGTGGTGGACCACCTAAGAACCGCGGAATCAAACGTCGTCGCTGTAGGCGTTTAATTTCTTCTTTGATGCGACGCTTTAGCTGGGCTAAAATTGACATAAAACACCATGAATTAGAAGCTTGGGAACTTACTGGAAATTCGTAAGTATGAAGACAATGAGAATTCGTAAAAGCTTTAAGTGAGATATCTGCTCAGAAAACGCCTAATAATTCTTAGGCGTTCTTATGAATTCTGAGGTTCAGGGGAGTGTTTGAACACAGTGGAAATCACCATTCATTGAGTGTCGTCATCTGGAAACACCGACTCCGCAGGCTTCTGTAGAGGTCTTTGCTCGCTAGCCCTGGGATAGGATGGAAGAGGTGGACGGGTGATCAGTCCATGACGTGGTGTCGTGGGATGAAGGATGTTTGTGCTAGATTAGCATCGGTTGGTGTGTTACGACTCTCTGGTTGAGGTCCGCGAGATAGCTCGAAACGTTATCGGATATGGCCAAGAATCGTAATCAATGGCGAACGTGTTGCAATTTCCTTCTTTCTTATCTTCCCGGTGATAGTTAACGAATACTATTTGAACTTATTAAGCATGACTGTTTTCCTTTCAGATGAATTTCTTCATCCGTTTCCTACTTATATTTTTACTTTTGATCTATGTTGGTTTATTATTATTGTGCAGCTCATCTTTCTTTTCTTGCGTTTAAATGAATAAATGATAGTCCTTATGAAACTTAATACTTCACTAAATGGATTTACACGCATATTGTCATATGAGCTACCACAGAATAACAGGATTGAGGATGTTATCAATACAAATGCGGTGTACATATTACAGTATTGATTCCTGCAATCAACTTCTAGTCGCTCTGAACAGAATTTCAAACAACCAAGTAGTATTATAAGCCCATAACAGAAAAGTATATCACTAGTCAGGATGACTAACTGAGTTTTCAACGTAGGACTTAGCATAAAAGGGCAGAAGTTATAGTCACTATGTTCCATACAGCAACCTGTGGTGGCGGTCAAACTAAAAAATATGGCGACAGTCAGTGATATCCACAAAAATTGGTTTACGCCAGGTGCGGAAGTGTAGACTTCTCAGTTGAGGTTCTCGGATGGAAGAAACCATTAGATGGACATTAGGATCAAATCCGCTAGCGGTTAAATTCAACAAAATACCTACAGATGACCTTGGGCTGTCATCCTTTTAGATATCTCATAATCCGTAATACGAACCGGCACATAGATGGACATATCTTGTCAACAATCACATAGTACTTCAAAACATATCAGAAACACACGCCCTATACTCAACTGCAATGCCTGTCAGTGTCATGGAAACCGTCTGTTTTGAAAGAGGAGACTGCTAGCGCTGTCATTTCGGCGAATTATAGGCCAGTAACCCAATAAATCTGAAATACGAAAACATAACGTGACACCAGTATAATCTAGGTTGGTAACCTAAAATCACCTATACAAACAGCTGTGTTTCCTCATATATGAAATCAAAAGTCTTGCATCACAATAAAATACTTAATAAATAAACATACTCCGGGTTGACAACTGCTTGGGAATAAACGGGGACTCAGATGCAGTTACTTCCGTATTGCAATTTGGAGAAAGTGTCTGATACCGTCTTCTTTTCGAACACGTAGACTCCAAAATTTCAAAGTTATGACTTCTTTTTAGAGTAGCGCAAGCCATATTATGTAATAGATTGTTATGATCTCAAGCAACGCTAGTCTGCAGTGAAGTACACCTCCAAAGCCAACCAGGACGTCAGCTGTCACCTGTTCCCAAGATGTACTGGCGCTAGGATCGGAATTACATCGATGAAGCACTAAAACAAAACAAATTATGCTTTTCACAATACTATGTCTGCGAATAAAAACAACCCCTCCAGGCCATCCGCTTATATAAATAAAACTGGGTTATCTCTATGACCCTTCAAATACATCCCCTTTGTGAGATCGAATGAACATTTACTCCTAGATCCACTGTTCATGCAGCTCCAGTCCCCGAAAAAAGTATCCCATCATTACCAGTTTGTACGCTGTAGAAATACCATATGCCGTGATCAAGTAATTGGCTGTTATTTTCCAACTCAAATTCTGCGAGATACCATTATTCTTTAGACATTTGTAAAATTTCAGCGAAAGTGAAACTATTAATTCCGATGTTTCGTTCGGCAGTCTGATCCGAACTTCCAGACAAGTAAATGTAAGAGTGAAAGAGTACAAACAATGTCTAAAGGCGGTTCGAAAGTCCTATGAAGACTTAAAGAAGCTGGAAAACAGATTACACTGCATCCGATAGAAACGGGACACAAAATGGACTTCGATGGGACTAGGGTTTTACAGAGGGGTTTCGGTTCATATAAAGATTGACTGCGAATGTCCTACATATATGAGTGAATCCCAACAGTTTGAACAGACGTGAAGGTGTGATGTTAGTTGATGAATGGCAAATCCTGATTGGTAGATTAAAAAATGGATATGCATCAATAATTAATCATGCTCGGCCGAAATTCCCGACTGTCCATATCTTCTTATGGCGAGGCTGACAAGTGCCTTATGACTGTTTACTCAACCACCCACACACACCATATACACATACATTTTCAAATTCAGTTATCTACAGTCATGAACTTTTGGTCTAAAGTAATCAGATGGGAAGTACATTCTCTTTAAATTGTTTGAAAAAAGTAAACTAATTTTCAAAGTCTGAGGTCAAATTTTGATCACAGTTCATAAAATTTAGTTTAATATATGTACTGTCAATGCAGTTGAAGATTGAACGATCAATTCATTGTTGTTTGCTCAAAACCAACTTCCCCAATTTTCGCGGAGGCATCAATACGACAGTCATCGTCTCATCGGTCGCTGTTCAGAAAGAAGTCAGGCCAAATTCGTCAGAAGTAATATTGTGATTTATTATTGTAATATTTGTTCACAGGCCTTAGTCATACGTGATTTATATGTTGGTGTTACAATAAAGAATTCTCAAGCGGCCAATCGGTGTTTTTGTTTTTGCGTCCGTTATTACTAAGCGTTTCTGAAAAACTTCAAGGAATAGCGTGAGTCCATGCGTAGCAAGAGCTGGGCATTAACGGTTTACGAGAGGTGGCTGACAGTTTCTGACGGTAGAAACAGATTCTGGCCGATTCAGATAGCTGGTAACAGTTTGGATAGTCACCGTTCATCTTTCCTGGTGCCGGTCAAGTCCTCTTTGAACAAGCAATATCTGGAACATTTTTAGAATTGGGCCAAGTTCAACAATGCCTGGGTCAAAGAAGGGACAGAGTGACTTGGACGCAAACAGGAAAGTAAGTCATGGTGATTTGTCTGTTAATTGTAACGATGTGTCTGATGTTCAACATGACATGGTTGATGTCACTGTTTCGCCGTTCAGGGATAATAGGAACATCAAACTCCCTAAATTTGAACCACGATGTTTCGATGGAAACCCGGCTGATTATTTACCATATGTAAATGAGTTTGAGATCATGCTGAGTAGTTTTTTATTAAGTGATGAATTGAAACTGATGTATTTGACGAGGTATTGCACTGGAGATGCTTCAAGAGCTATACAGTGCTGTAAGCTCATGCCCCTTAATGATGCATACGCTGAGGCTATGAGCATATTACGTCAAAGGTTTGGAAGACCTTCAATGATTGTAAGGAACGTATACGAAGCTGTCAAAGGTAACGGCAGTCGGCTTCAAGATGACTCCAAGGCACTTACTGAGTTTTTAGATAATCTTATGGCTTACAAGAATACCTTGATTTCGGAGAATTTCATGAGTGACCTCAACTCGAGTTTTATACTAGAAGTAATAGCGAGACGCCTACCTACTCGACTGCAAAGGAAGTGGGTGAAGATAAGCCCCCGTATGGAGGATGAGGGTATCGAGCCAAAGTTTGATGATATCCTGAAACTGGTAAACAATAGTGTCAATCAATCTATGAGCAAGTTTTCCAGTATATTGAATCTCACCCCTAGAATAGAGCAGTCTGAGAGTAAAACGCAATCATTGATGACGAATAGGCCTCAGAGAGGTGGATATCGAGAAGGCTCCATGATGTCTAGTAATGCATATAGACCTAGTGAGTGTAACAGGTTTCGTAGTACATCCTCAACAGATAAGTTACAAGATGCAAGACAAACACGGTTGTGTTTTACACGTTTGCAAGAGGTGCATACAGAGGTGAACTGTGAACCAGTGAGCAAGTTCAGTGATAAGCTAAATGTAAACTCCAGGCCTGACTCCGAATTGTGTGACGATAACGGTGCGGTGAAGAAGTCTGTAGTTACAACTGGTAAGCCATTGTTGAATAGAGTGTCACAGAATAGAGTTGCTGCTTCAGAGTCCAGTTCTGACCCTACAAGTTTACAAGGTATTACTAGTCAGAGTGAAGTTATAAAACCTTTTAGGATTTGCGAGGAGGAATCAAAATTGTCTACTTCTGTTATTAAAGAGTTTGAAAATGATGAAGTTGACGGTAAAGTGAATATTCGTGATAATGATCATGATACTTCACAGTTGTCTTTGGTTGATCATGATGAGATGAGGGATATGCCTACTACTGCTAAGTTGAACAAGGGTTCTGTACAACTTGAACGTGAAGTAGAAATAAATGCAGGTGCAGTTGCAGAAGGCATGCATACTTGTGAGACCGTCAGTGTAAGTGATCAGCATGTAGCCCACCTATCATCAGATGCTAGTGCTAAACCTGAGCTGATAGTAAAAGACAGCAGTGGTGGTAATCTTGCAGTTAGACAAATTTCTGAAAGTCGAGCAACAACAGCTTTTGATCCACCGCTAACTTCATCAACTGATATCAATCAGTCGTCGTTGGTGTTGTCATCCACAATGAAAAGGATGCCCATCAACTCAAGTATCTTGTGCAATGACTATGCTAGTATCAGTTCGTTTGAAAGGACGAATATCAATGGTCAGTTTAGTGAGGATAAGCCAAGTGTAAACGAGAGAGTAATTGTTAAATTGACTTGCACGAATAAAGGCATTTCTAGTTTCAAGTTACTATTTGAATGCCATTATCTTTGGTGTAAATTACTCTGTGCCTACGCTTGGTTGACCAGATACGTCGTGTGTTTGTTAGTCATCTATATTCTACGATACAATGACATGAGCGTGTTACCGTTCAGATTTGAGGATATAGCTGATAGAAGGAAATCAGCAAATGAACTCTGCAACGATTTTCCAACCTAGAGCGTCAACCTGAGAAGGGTTGTAGGCGTACTGCTGTAAGTCCTACAATTCTTCAAAGGGTAGCGCATCAATGAGCAGTCCAGTGTGCATGGTGTGTGATTTTGTACATATGTTCATATTGTATATACTGAATTGATATCATTTGTCATCTAGCTGTTGGTAATTCTGTTTGTGTCCGGACGACTTCCACTTGGATCATCAACCTGAGAAGGAATGTAGGCGTACTGCTGTAAGTCCTACAGTTCTTCAAGGGTAGTTCGTCAAGGCAGAATCCACAACATTTGATGTAGTGATTGTACATATGTTTGTGTTAAATAATTGTGTGAGTTCCAATTATTGTAATTGTTGGTTAATCATGTTTGTGTCCGGACATTCCACAACTTACAATCGTCAACCTGTGAAGGGTTGTAGGCGTACTGGTGTAAGTCCTGCGATTCTTCAAAGGAATTCCATCAAGACATGAACTGCGTGTTTGTGTGTACTGTTTGTGTAAACGTGTGGTGTGTCATATCAATTGGTGTTTTGAGATTCATTGTGTTTACTCGTTGTTTTCGTACCTTGTTGTTATTGCGTAATTTTGTTAAAATTTTCGTCGTGATTACTTCTGAAGTTGTGTCCACTCTTTTACATCCGTGAATGAATCGATTGATGTTAAGGCCAGCAGATGGGTCGTACACACCGGGAAGGCTATTGCTGAGAATGAAATGCACACGGAGATAATTGTTAGCTGTGGTCCCACACGCCGGGGAGCGGGAGTGTAAACGACTGAGGCTCGCATACGTCACCGTTACTAGAACTGAGGCAGAATGAGTGACAAGCGATTCCACTGGTAATTGGTAGTGAGTAGATAAGAGGATGTGCGTAGAGTATCGTGAGTTTGTGCTATGGTCACGTTTCATTCTGCGAGAGTCATTCTAGCAAGTGGTGATTGTGTTGCAAGAGGATGCTTTTAACTGGAAGGCGCAGGTCGTCATTGATGTGTGAGATTGTGCTGTGAGTATGCTTGTGGTGTGTTGGCTTTTCTGTTTGTTTTCCATTTCAGCTCTGTCCGAGTGACCCAGGTTCTCGCAACGGCATCCAAGTCAACGTGTATTGGTCGTGAAGAAAAAAGGGGTTGGATCCCTTTTTTGCCAGGGAGTGTCAATTTAGTTGAAGATTGAGCGATCAATTCATTGTTGTTTGCTCAAAACCAACTTCCCCAATTTTCGCGGAGGCATCAATACGACAGTCATCGTCTCATCGGTCGCTGTTCAGAAAGAAGTCAGGCCAAATTCGTCAGAAGTAATATTGTGATTTATTATTGTAATATTTGTTCACAGGCCTTAGTCATACGTGATTTATATGTTGGTGTTACAATAAAGAATTCTCAAGCGGCCAATCGGTGTTTTTGTTTTTGCGTCCGTTATTACTAAGCGTTTCTGAAAAACTTCAAGGAATAGCGTGAGTCCATGCGTAGCAAGAGCTGGGCATTAACGGTTTACGAGAGGTGGCTGACACATTCTGATAATTGTTTCATGACTCATACGATTGGAAAGGGGACAGAGGATTGGACTGCGCTCATGCCTACCTGGAATACATCTCCGTGGCTCTCATCACATCATAACAAACGTCCCATATGTTTTTGAAAACGACGGCACTTATCTCCAGAAAAACTCCAAGACGTTAAGGCTGTGTTTGAACATGTGTCAGAGATGGGAATAATCAGACTATCTAGCAGTCCATGGTGTTCATCCCAGATTTGTTGCCTAAGAATATTGAGATGGAGTGGATATAATGTGGTGATTACTGCAGGCTCAATGCTCCAACTGTTCCAGATCATTATCCAGTCCCACA